GCTGGACTTACAGGGGAAATTTTAGCGTTTCTATGGCGTTTTCTGTCTCTTTTTCTAAATGACTTTCCTCGTCGCACCTCTAGTCTAACTTCGAACAATATAACGTACCAATTCGATCCTGACTGTGCCATCAACTTGATAGTTGCGTTCCCTTCTTTTTGTTTGTTTACTTTTACATAAGCTCTGCACTACACTTGACCTTCGATTGTTACCGAGATTCAACGTGCACATTAGTTAGGGTACCAGTTCCGTAATAAATTCAATCGTTTTAGCTAAAACTGGAGCAGGTCTTGCATACTGGCGTGCTTCTGTGACTGAGCGACTAATGAATTTTTTTCCATTGAATAAGACGTCTCCGTTGTAGAGCTGCTTGCGCCCTATTATCAAAGTAAATCATCTGAGTGTCCATGTTCGACTCTCGGTCAATCTTGGCATTGCGAGAGTTACTTTCAGCGAGGTTTCTTGAGCCGCAACCAAGATATTATGAACGTTTTACTCGGCTAACGTTTCGGCCGTATCGCCTTCGTCGGAGCCTGGAAAGCCAAAGATAAATGCGATTCACCCCCCAAACACCATTTCAAACTTCAAGAGAAGTCCCATAGACCCTATGTCTCTAGGAAGGCATCACAAATCACTAAACACTAGGACCCACCTTAAGAACGTTCATAATATCTTGGTTGCGGCTCAAGAAACGTCGCTGAAAGTAAATCATCTGAGCTGAACTGGAAATAATCACCTACCTGGCAACGAGAGTAGCACATTTGTAGAATCCTCCACATATGAAACCCGTCGAACATTCAATAATGAGCAAAGAGACAAGCGCATAATTGGCCAATTCTTTTGGTAAGAAGCCAAGTACACAGAAGAATGTTCCTGACACCTGAACAAGTATTTATAGCGATGTAAAAACACACACGTGAAAAAAGGGGAATAACAAGCATGGCTCATTTCACCCCTTTGAAGGGATGTATGTCGTATGCCGTTGAGGTAATCCAGGGATTGGAGGCACTTGAAGGAATAACAAGGGACTACATAACTCTACCACTCCCCTCCTCCCCCTCCCCTCTCCAACCCTTGAGTGCGGGTACTGAATCCGCAACCGCAGGGATAGGGGCACTTTCGCGTCGTACACGTGTTGATCGTTGGAACCTCCACTTAAAGGCAAAAGTCGGGCTCAATAAGGGGGTATTATGGCGATTGAAACTGAGTATAGAGATGCGAAGTGGAACGACAGTGGAGAAAAAACTGAGAAAAACCGTCGACAAGGCCGTTAACAAAACCCTCTTTCCCACTAGCAGTGAAGGAGGCTGGCTTGGGGAAAGAGGCACGTACAAACAAGTTTTCTGGAGATGTCAGTCGTTCTATCGGTTGATACGGCAATCAACCTAGCTGATTTCACACGTTATGCCAGCCACGCACCACTTGTCTCGGAGGTAGGAGGTCGGAGCTAGAAGGTGCCTCGCGAAATCATTTGACAGCAGAGACCTGTTTGTACGTGCTGCTGTTCCGGACAGCCTTCCGATATACCGACTGGCTACCGGTGGGGGAAACTGAACGGACGGTTTTCGATGGTTGGTGGTGAAGCGAGCGTGCTGGGGAGGAAGTGGTGCAGGTGTATGCTGTACAACAACCTCGTGGCTATTATAATTACTCCTCTTAGCCGACTGGGCCCGTACTCTTGTGGACTGTTAAATGCTAACACGCGCACGTCCACCGTTACAGTGTCTGCGTTTCGTTCCCTGAGATGCTCTCTTGCTTCTGTCTGCCTACTTACTCGCTGGACACTATATGTTAGGCAATTTATATACCGGACTATACGACCGCCCGAGAAAGTTCTTATTTAGGAAATTTTTGGTGATCTGTTTTCTTTTTCCTTAATTGACAACAAACAGCATATGACTCTTGCTTATATGCTTAAGGTCGCACCCAATTTCGCGGATCAGCGTACTAGTTGGCCTTGAGGGCCTGGGAAAGGCTATGTAGAAAGAAATATAATATTGTTATATGACGTGATATGTCTTGGTGACAGGATCGTACAAAATGGAGCTGAGCAAACTTTGTTTTTGATATTGCTTCTTCTATGGATACATTCTAATTACAAGGCAAAAACCCAAGCACCCTAGGATACCTTGAGCAAGCCAAGAGCAATCTGTAACTGCCGACAAACACATAAGTGTACGACGTCTCAAAAAATGTGTAGTGTTTTCTGCCAACGAATTGGTTTGCAGTTTTATTTTATCAGTCGCTAGTCACAACTGCAAGTGGTCAGCTATCAACTGTAACTATGAACTGAATTATCAACCTTCTCTGATGCCTTCATCACTTGTGTTTTTGGGTGATTACAGATGTAACTGGTTGCCGGATACAAAGATTATGAGTGCGTATTACCATGGTGAGAAAGTCGTTAGGAATTAGGAACACGATTAGCAAGCAGAGGTATAAAGAACTCAATAATCAAATTCAGGAACTGTATTAAATTACCTGGAAGAGTGAACTAATAGCTTATAAAATTATTTTTATTATGACACGGATAAAATGTATGAGATTTATTGCACTTTTTTACGCATTTATTTTTGGGTAGGACCTATATAAATGAATAAATTTATATCTTATCCGATCTCAAAAGAAAGGAATAAAAAAGAAACACTAACCGTTAAGGCGATTGTATTGAAAATCCTCATTTTTGTTTTCTCCGTTAGAAATCTAGAATATTCATGAATACGAACCAGTTTGTTTAGAAAAACATAGTGAAGTTTCAAAAACTTACTCGATTCGATCGCTTGCTATTCCACTAATAATTTTGAAGGCTAAGTGAAGTGCACGAGGTACCGCAACAAAGTAACCAGTATGAGCTACTCGGAATCCAAGAACCTGTAAAATACAAATTTCGTCAATTGAAAATTTTAAGCAAACTTTTAGCTTGATTCGGCCCTTTCTTAGGGTTTACTTTTAGACTGAAAAAAATTGATCCACATAATAGGTACACGCGCATAATTGTCATCATTGATTGTCTTCAATTTTTCTCATGTTGTTCTGTTTGATGTTATTTTCGTGATCCCTTTGTGCAGTGTGTAACACTGATCAAGCGTAAGATCTTTCAAAGACGGCTGCCGCTAGCGAGCAGCAATAAATAACTTTCCCTGGGGTCAATTTCAGTTGATCCGTGAACTGGTGGTATAGGAAATTAACACCGTAGAAGATTTTTAAAGTTTACTCTATTAGTCGCAGGTTTTTAGCTAAGAAGAAGCCATCTCTATCTTTGAGGCTTTCATTAAAGAGAACCTGAGCAGAATTGTCAATCTGAGTTGCGTCGAGCGAGTTCAAAGATGTGCCGTTGTCGACTACTCGAAAGTACGCGACAATGGTGCTAGGGTTTCACAAAGTGAACTCATGGCGACTAATCCTAACTTGCGAACGAGATACCTCATGCACACCCCATGATATGCAGCGTGGATTACAGAGTGGCGGCTAATTCAAATATGCGCGGATCAGTGGAGCCGTGGAGCAAGCAATATCAGAAAACTCGTCCGCCATGCCCCTGCCTTAGAGAGGAGATTCCTGGAGAATAGATGGCTCCATCGGCGGTATGTATTGACTCTTTTTTCCATTTCAGCCTTGCGCCGCCTCTCCATGCGCCTTGTCTGCACCATCTCAGTGAAGCGGTGATTTAGTAAGGAACAAGGATCACAGATCCCAGATTTGAGTGAGCAGCCACGAGGAACGTAGCCAGTGCAGTTAGGGAAACAGGGCAAGCCATTGCACTCGTGTGAAAAGCCTGGACTTGCTTACGCTATATCGCTGAAGAGGCGCAGACAAGCCGCGTAGTGCTGCCCATCCACCCCCCCCCCCACCCCGTCCCACCTCTGTCCTGTTTTGGGTCCCCCTGTCCCACATCGGTCTTGTTTTG